GGAGGTCGAGCAACCCAGAATGAGAAGCACCCAAGAGATCCTTACAAAATATAAATTCAACGGGGTATTATATTTCTCCACCTTTGAAATTTGCATTTACTCCTATATTGCTTGTCTCTTGCTGATTTAGCTAGTAGCTGTAAATTGCGCTCCAGGATGCTGCCGCGGCAGCGGCGCACGCGAAGGATAAGCTCATGGAGCGGCAGGAGAAACTCGCGGTAAAACGATTTGGTTCCTTCTGTTGTTCAATCGACGCCAAGAGAGTACGGTAAATCTTGACGACACTGATATCCTGTTTCTTGGATGCCAGAAAATGGTCGAAGAATCTGCAGAGTTTGAGAGCGAGGCGGAAAACTTTGCCACCCTCGGCCAGCAGGTCAGGAAATCCCTGGAGACCAAGAGATGGTGGTGGCCATCGTGATTCATAAACCAATCGTCCGGTCATCAAGCGATGTGATGTGATGTAGTGTAAAAAACGCTTCTTATATTATGGGACGGAGGGAGTAATACCAATGCGTTTAGCGTGCCTGGCTGCTGCACTGGTCTGCGCATGCTAAATGAAACGAGAGCAAGACGTTGCCTTTTAGCAACAAGTGGGAATGATTGTGGACGGATACATGTATCTACTCTACTTAGTTTTAATTAATCATGTGATGGTGATGGCTGACGACCGTGCGATGAACTTCTCACCCGCCAGCGCCATACATGTAACTAGCTCTTATCGTGGACGGATAAATGGTACGAGGTGGCATATTTTGCTTGCGGATCGAATGGTGCTAAGAGAGGACACGGGTGGCGTGTACCAGCCATGGGTTGGAGGCTTCTCCGATTGGCCCGTCCATTGATGAGGTTAGGCTGCTTGCTGGTTCCCTTTTCCACTTGCCACGTCACCTCTCCAGTTTTTTTTTGAAACATCAAGACTTTATTCCTTAAATCAAAGGCAGGTTGTTTACAATAGCATGAGAAATAAAGTCCGGAATATTAGATTCCCCAAAAGAGGAAGATCTATTGCTAAAAGAGTTGCTAGCTAAGATATGAGCAGCCTCATTAGCTTCACGAAGACAATGAGAGTATACTGTATTGGCCAAATCAAGAGCAAGTTCTCTGCACTCCAAAATCGTGGCTATATTTGATCCCGTATAATCCGAGTTCTGCACTGATTCCACCACGAAACTGCTGTCAGACTCAACTTGAACTTTGTTGCATCCGAAAACTTGCTTGAGTAAGCACGGATAAAGTTGGTAGCTAGAACTCTAATTGATATGGCTACTTTCTCTGCTGTTTGAATCAGTTCCCCTTTCATATGTTAGCGCCTCTGCCACCAAAGATACCAGGCCGCCACCAGTATTAGTTCGGACGTGGGCAAACCTTTAGAAACGCCCTGTGTCCGACTGAGAATCTTGTAGTTACTGATCCAGACCGGTCCTGCATAATAGCCTCCAGTATAACATTATGAACCCCCAATTCTGACCAGATTTCCTGCACTCTCTTGCATGTGAACAAGCAATGTTGAATATCTTCCAACCCAACCGAGCAAAATGGACACTGTGGGGTAAGCGGGATATGTCTGTTTGCCAATATTCCATAGCAAGGCAGTGATCCATTCAGTACCTTTCAAGCAAAATGCTTAATCTTTCCAGGGAGTTTAAGATTCCGCACTTCATGCCATATTGTGTTAGCTTGGGCATTTCCTTGACCATCAGATCTAGCAAGACGATGTCCATACATGTGTTCAAATTCTATGTGATAAGCTGACCGGACCGAAAAGGTCCCTGCTCTCATGTAATTCCATGCTATGAAGTCCTCCATCACCTGAACATTTAGAGGTATTTGGAGGATCCTATATGCATCAACTGGAGAGAACGCGTCTTGGATTAAAGCTTCGTCCCACTGGCCATAATGAGGATCAATCAATTTCTCCACGTATCTTAGCATCACTGATCCTCGAGGGGTAATAACTTTCTGCGATGGGCTTGACGGAATCCATGGGTCCTGCCATATATCTATCTGCGCTCTTGTACCCACACGCCATATACACCCTCTTCTGAATGTTTGAATACCTGCCACAATACTCTGCCAGGTAAACGACGAACCTTTCTTTGGACCTGCCTTCAAAATATTACCCTCTGGATAATACTTTGCGCTTAAAACACGTGCACATAAAGAATTAGGGTTTTGGATTAGTCGCTAACACTATTTTGCTAATAAAGCAAGATTGAAACTGTGAAGAAAGGGGGACTGGGATTTAGAGACGTCGCCTCTCCAGTTCCTAAACTAGTATGACCCCGTGATCTCTGTGGTCTGAGAATGGACCGTCCTATAAACAAGCACAGGAGCATGTAGTGTAGCATCAACTAACTATCCAGTAGCTGTACTGTACGTAGCATAAAGTTAGCTGATGGTGCGTGGGTGATATGGTTGAGTGGTGGCACGAGGACCTCGTGGCCTCCTGCCGGCCACACCCGCAGCCGCGGTTCCCAGCAATTTCCTTTTATTAGCCCGTGTGTTTAGTGGGAGGACTTTCCAGGTCCCTATCTGACAAAGTGGTTAACCAACGCAAAGCAGCCCGCGCGCCGGCCATGGGATGGACCAACACCAACACGGTGCGTGCTGACGCTACGCTACCTTCTTCTCCGTCCAGGGAAAAAGAGAGGAGCAAACATCAGCAACCGCTCTAGGACAGAGTACCACTGTTATCTTTTAACCAGTTGACTGCTCATGTGTGTGTTGGTAGTCAGTAGTACTACTAGTAGCTAGCAACAACCATGCTAGCTCGGGTGCCACCTAGTAGTTGTGAACCCAAGCGTGACACACAGGCACGGCCACATCAATCTCCCGTGCAAATTTCCGAGCCGTCCCGCGCCACCGGCCCTGTGGCTACAGCGACGTCGCTCCAGCATCCAACAAATAATCAAATATAAACCCGTACAAAATACAAATATATACTATGAATGGTTGTTCGGAGCAGGGGATGCCGACGTGCCGCAATCCGTCGCCGACCATTTGGGGCTTGTTTGTTTTTGAGTCCTGTCCTGCCCTAGGTGCCTGTAAAAAGTCATTGCCTGGAATAGGCCTGAGAGCATCTGTGTTGTACTCCCTCCGTCCTATAATATAAAAGCGTTTTTTACATTAGTATAATGTCAGAAACGCTCTTATATTATGGGACGGAGGGAGTATATGTCTGGGCAAGCTCGTCTGATAGAATGACGTTTGGTTGATGCTCGGAAAAGCATTAAAGAATATATTTTCTTTTTAGGGTATAGATATTATTTTTGAGAGGCTTGTGAAATCGGTGGCCTGGCCTCAGGCTAATGGCGGCACCTGGATTGACCCGTGCTAATGACGACAACATACATTTCCAGGCCGGTCATGTTGTCAAATGCTCAGGATACTATCCAAACAAGTCTCACGCAGGTTTTAGGGACGGTCATGGCCAGGCACGAGTTCGTCAGGAAGGCAACCAAACTGACCGTTGAAGCCACCGCCGCCATCCTGACTGTGCATCTCCTTCCCACATTAACAGACGCATCATGGTGCACTACTTCTTTTGAAGATGAATCCGACTTTAATCTTTAATTTAACAAATTGAATCATACTAAGTATATTGTGACATGCATAACGACAAAGATCTCTGATATGTAACATTTCCCTCGGATATATTTGAACTTGTTGCATTTAGCTAAACTTTTGCATCTCAACTTTTCTCCGAACCGGTGGCGAACCAAGATTTTGACCAAAGGGGGTACCAATTTTCTCACTCACAACAGAAATGCCAGGTATAACCATAAAAAATGCCAGTTTATCATTTCCTTATAATGCATATAGGATTAAACTAAGAGTACTAGGTCAAAAAAGATTTGCATTTTTGGAGGGGATGCCAGGGCACCCTCGGAACTCCCACTGGATCCGCCACTGCTCCGAACCCTTGATGAAGAAGACGAAAGTTGCACGAACTAGATTAGCTTCATAAGTGTCGCATTAATTATTCACACCAGTAGGCGATAATCTAACATTGTTGAATACATTGTCTAGGACACACCCCTTGCAAGGCAGAGTGTCGAACCGTTGTTTCTTCGTCGTACTGTTTATAAAGAAGTTTAGGACTCTCTTCAATTCATAGGATTGTAAAACACATGAATAGGAAAAATATAGGATTGGCTTCCTTTAGCTCACAAGATAGAAATATCATAATGATAAAAAAATTCATAGAAGTGAGATGATATGTATCTCAATTTCTCTATGGGAAGAAACGTCATTTGATGCATACGATAGGATTTTTCCACTGAGTCTAGGCTAAGGCCTCCTTTGGTTTGTAGGAATTTTATAGGACATGTTTTTCAAAGATTTTTTTCTTTGGAGCCATCTGGTTTGTAGTAATGGATTTTTATTTCTATATAGGATAAAAACCAACCCTTCACATTTTAAAGAAAAAAACATTAGCCCAAATTCAATGAAAAAAATTCTTATCCTCTTCATCAAATGACATCTCTTTCCATCTACGAATTGACATACGATCATCTTGTTGGAAATATGCCCTAGAGGCAATAATAAAGTGGTTATTATTATATTTCCTTAATCATGATAAAGGTTTATTATTCATGCTAGAATTATATTGACCAAAAACTTAAATACATGTGTGGATACATAAACATATACCATGTCCCTAGTATGCCTCTACTAGACTAGCTAGTTGATCAAAAGATGGTTAAGGTTTCCTAACCATAGACATGTGTTGTCACTTGATAACAGGATCACATCATTAGGAGAAGGATGTGATGGACAAGACCCCTCCGTTAGCTTAGCATATGATCGTTCAGTTTATTACCACTGTTTTCTTAATGTCAAATACATATTCCTTCGACCATGAGATCATGTAACTCCCGGATACCGGAGGAATACCTTGTGTGCTATCAAACATCACAACGTAACTGGGTGATCATAAAGGTACTCTACAGGTATCACCGAAGGTATCTGTTGAGTTGGCGTGAATCGAGATTGGGATTTGTCACTCCGTATGATGAAGAGTTATCTCTGGGCCCTCTCGGTAATGCGCATCACAAGAAGCTTGCAAGAAAAGTGACTAAGGAGTTAGTTGTAAGACGATGTATTAAGGAACGAGTAAAGAGACTTGCTGGTAACGAGATTGAACTAGGTATGGAGATACCAGCGATCGAATCTCGGGCAAATAATATACTGTAGGATCGAAAGTAGGTCTAGAGGGGGGGTGATTAGACTATTGACCAAATAAAAATCTAGCCTTTTCTAAATTTAAGTCTTGGCAGATTTTAGCAACTTAGCACAAGTCAAGCAATCAACCTACACATGCAATTCTAAGAGTATAGCAGCGGAATGTAAAACATTGCATATGAAGGTCAAGGGAGGGGTTTGGAAAGGCAAACACAATGTAGACACGGAGATTTT